CTGTCAGGAGACCCTTAGAGGAAGAGGATAAACCAGCTAACAGGCTGTGTGACCTGGACGACGGGAGTGGTCCTGAGAACCCACGCAGAGGAGCCCTTCAATCTTAAAGCCACCGAGGGGGTTGAACAGCGGCTAAGTGACCTTTCCGGAGCCCGCTGAGGTGAGTCGCCCGGGGCCAGCTCGGCAGGGGGGTCGCGGGAATGCTGTGGATGTTCTCAGTAGTCGGAGGGCTGCTTCCTGTCCATGCACAAGTCACAAGGCTGTTCACAAGGTTAACACACAGAAAACGCTCACGTCTTGCAGTCGGTTCTCTGGGATCCTGGCCTTCCAAGGGGGGACGCCCAGCCTCGGGGTGCCGTCTGACTGGGACAGGCGCCCAAAACACAAGCCACAAAATGCCACCAGCGGCTGAGACACAGCAAGACCAGCGGCCGGTCGAGTACATTAAACACAGTCATTCCTTTAAATACACAGAAAATTCAAGTAATTTATTTCAAAACTGCTTAGTTTTATCTTGAAATATATATATTTGCTTTAGAATGATCATATTGCAGCATGATTCTCATGCACTTTAAAGTACTTTATTTTAAAAATAAAAAGAACATCAACTTGAGGCAGCGAAGTATTGCAACTGTCTACTTTATCCGGTGGCGTGGGGAGGCCTCCCTCTCTCCTGAGATGGACCGTTCCAAAAAAAAGCACGCAGACACTGCTCCGTGCAGAGAGTGGTCTGAAAACCATGTGCGAATAGCTGCAGCATGTGACACCGTTCTTCCCAAGTCCAAGGTCACTCGTCCGCGGGATCCAGAGACCACGCTGAGGGGTCAGGTGGGGGGCCCTTCCTCCTGCCCCGGAGACTAACTTCCTTCACTGTGCAGCCCAACACCCGGCAGGGGGTGCAGGCCATGAGGTCAGAAGAGTTCAGCAGTGTCCAGCATGGTCGCACGTGCCAGGGTTGCTGTCCCCCACGCGGAGGTGGCCCGGCCGGGAGCTCGGCCCTACCTCATGTTTCCCCCAGCAGATGGTTGCAAGACAAATCAAAGTGCAATGAAAGACTCCACGGCCTCGCCCAGGAGCCTCGGACGACGGTGCTGGGGCCGGGCGCAGACACACACGCCATGCTGGCAGGGACCGAATCTGCTCATTCAAACGCCACCCTGGGCGGCTGCCCGGAACCCCCCTTGCCAATCACGCTCTTCTACCTGCAAGGAGCCCCAGGCCCGCCTCCTCCCATCTTTGGTGTGCGGTCGCCACCACTGCCCGCTGCCCCGGAGCGGGGCTGCCACGGGCACGATGTGTGAAACTCTGAGCAGAGGAAACGCTGTTCTAAAAAAAAAAAAAAAAAAAAAAAAATCCAGTTTGGGAAATAAAATGTTTTCTTCTAAAATAATCATAAAGAAAAATACTCTCCAGCAGCTGCAGCACCAACAAAACGTGGCGAGATCTGTGAGAACGTCCAAATAAACACTTGTGGGCGTCCACAGAGAAAAAATTTGGTAAAAACGTTTTAGTCACTGACTGACTACACGACTCTTATCTGAAGTATTCAGATAAGATGCAGCAAAGAACATCAGATAGTTTTTGATTTCAGGTATAACTTCAGAAATGCAAAATCTTATGTTTTTCTAAAATGCTTATGGTCTACATTGTAAATCTGGTTTACAATTTAAAAACATGCAGAATAATATACCTGCAGAATAAAAGATAAAGTCGAAATTAAAAGATCTTTTTCAATTCAAAAAAAAAAAAAAGATTTTAAATGATTCTTTTAATTGTGGAAAAGGTCATTAGTGTGGTATTTTTGCCTAGTGGCTCGAACCTACCCTATAACTACTGAGTCCCCGCTCCGTCTGGTGAAGGGGCTCCGTTTTGCGCTGCCACTGAAGCAGCAGCAACCAGCTGGCCGGGCAGCGTCCGCCCCACCCCGCCCCGCCGGCCGCCCCGCCGGAATGTGCGCACAGGAGCAAGGCTCAGACCATGGACTCCGTCTCCACAGGCCCCCGCGGGCCCACCTTCCGGGTCAGCCTCAGGACCGTGGGCTTCTCACTGCTGCCTTCGCCCAGGGGCTGGGAAGACAGGCCCTTCTGCTCGTCCTTGGCATCTTCCGACACCTCTGGGTAGATCACCAGGAACGTGGCCGTCAGGAAGCCCAGGAAAGAGCCCACGGAGGCCACCATGGGGATGACACGCACAGTCCCCACGGCGTCGACCACGCCCCCCAGGGCGGACGCCACCAGGATCTGGGAGATGTAGACCTGGCAGGACAGGATGGCACAGTCTATGCCGAAGCCGCGCTTGGAGTTCCCGGGGCTGTGGTGGACGTACTGCAAGAGAAGAGAGCAGGGGTGAGGGCCGTGGGCTCGGCCAGCGGTCACCACACCCGTGGTGTGGGTGTGAGCTCAGACGTCCAGAAACAAAACTCGGCTTCCTCTCAGCTGCCTGGTGACCACTCAGCCCGTCCTCCCACCCCATCCCACTTCCAGTCGACCCTGTACTGGGCGTTCTGGCCACTGCAGTTAAGACGAGGAGATCAACAAAAATGTATTAGGGGTTAGAAAGGAGAAATGAAACGCATTATACACAGACGACGTGATAATTCTGTACATAGACACACACTATGAGACTGGAATACCCCACAGCTACGGGCAGAAGGGCTCAATACCGTAAGTCTTAACTTTCCCAAATTGGTCTACATAACGTGTTTCCAACAAAAAGCCCAGAAGCTGATTCTAACATTTAGATGAAAAGGAAGTGGTCGAGCACAGCCTAGACAACCCTAGAGGACCAAGTGGGAGAGCTTCCACTACAGGGTTCATTCAGGTCTTATTATAAAACTACTTAGTACAGTGTAACATCTGCCGATGAAGAGAGGACCAGCAACACCCCCACACGACACCGGTCTGTGACCAAGATGGCACTCACAGTGAGTGGCGCCTGGTCAGGCAGCCAGCGAGGTGGGAAAGCCAGTCTTGCTCCTCCGCCTCACGCCACACACGGGACGCCCATCCCAGGCACGTGCACAGGACAGGGGGATGGGAATGGGGTGCATGGAAGAACCCCCGGGACACCAACAGGACGGGTGGATAAGCTGGCTGCATGGCGGGGTACGGCCAGGAATGGGGGGCTGGGGCAAGCCCGGAGGGAATCACAGACACGCAAGGGAAGGGAGGTTTGAACGCCGGCAAGACGGGCACATGGCGTCGGGGGCTGGGACAATGCCCGTCTGTGTCGCTCCTTGGGCTGCGCTGGGTTTACAGGTCTGTCTCCCCTTCCAGAAGTGCACGAAGCTGTTCCCCTATCATTTCTGTCCTTTTCTGTGGTCACGTTATACTTCAGCTAAGAGGTTTATTTAAAAATAATGCTGTTATTTTGATTTTCATGAGTTTGATATTTGGTAGGCACCTAACCAGTGAATTTATTTTGCTTTAGTAGCTGTAAGAGATTAGAAGATTAAACACAGCTTAGGTTGAAGAGCGAGATATGAGCTTACTGTGTTTCTCCCTTTCCCTGTGAAGCATCTGTGTGTTAAATCTGAACCACCATCTGCACGTCTACACCTGCGCTGTGGCTACCGGGCGCTGGAAAGGGGCTCATCTGAATCGAGAGGTGCTGCAGGTGTGCAATCAATAGTGAATTTCAAGGACTTGGTGAGAATGCAAAATACCTCAATGTTTTATATTGAGCGTATATTGAAATAATGTCTTGGATGTACCAGGTTGAATAAAACTACAATTATTTTACCTGTCTTTTAACTTCCTAAACATGGCTACTGGAGGTGTGACCTGCCGAGGAGGCTGCACTCTATTCAGCAGGACAGTGCTGGTCCACAGCCTCCCCTCCTCCTTCCTCAGTGGCCTGTGAGGGGACCATGGGGGCAGGCAGCCTCCTCTCCTCCACTCGCAACCCCAGGCAATGCACCTGAAGCCTCCAGGCAGGTGCCAGGTGGGCCAGGGGTGCCAGCGGCCAGGTGGCTGAAGGAACGGACCCTGTGCCTTAGACACTGACCCGGCAGAAGGCAGCTCTGCTGGCCCCTTCAGGGGCCATTTCAGAACCAAAGACCTGAGGGGGACCGTTTGTGCCCGAATGTCCCCCTCGACTAAGGTGCAGGGCTCTGTCTAGAAACGAATGGAGAACGAGCCAGGCTCTGGAGCCAGACAAGCTGACAAAGCGTCCCGACGTGGGATCCGGCTGGTGACCCTGTGCCCCAGGCCCCGCCCGCCGGACCCCATGGACGCGCGGCCGGCGCGGACGCACCTCCTTGATGTCGTGGTACTGCCCGAGCAGGGCGTAGGGGCAGTAGGAGATGCTCATGGACACGATACCCATGGTGCTGATCATCACCATGGCGACGTAGACATTGGCGAACATGGCCATCACGGCTGTGCCGATGGAGAAGCCCAGCGTCCCCAGCACGTAGATGACCCTGATGCTCAGGTCGTAGTTGTCCAAGTACTTCTGTAACAGGGCTGTGGAGAGAACGCGGCCACAGCACGGTGAGCCCGGGGCGAGCTCGCTTCACTCCCAGGGGCTTCCCCGCCCCTCCCTGCACTCAGCCTGGCTCAGGGACCAGCAGACATCCTTCCTGCGTGCCCGCCCTCCCACCACGCCGCTGCCCATGCTGCTCGTCTGGACACTCGCCCCTGAACATGCCTGTAGCTCACTGTGCCCACTCGACGTCCAGAAGCTCCAGCCCCCCAGAAAGAAGCTGGCCCTCTTGGTCCCAGGCCTGGCAATGTGCTGCCGACCCCTGGGCCTCGGCCTGGCCAGAGCCTCCCCAGCTCCCCAGGCCCACACCCAGTCCGCTTCGGGAACTCGAGCTGCTGCCGGCCTCCTCATGGGCGCCCCCCTGGATCTAGAGAGACAGACCCCTGCGCACCCCTCCTGACCTAGCGGCTTAAATGTCACCGCCTCCAGAGAGGGTCGCTGACACTGTCCTGAGAACTCCTGTCGAAGCACTGACAGCCTGTGATGGTCACGCCGGCTTCCGGCGGCTCTGTGCCATTTTATCTCAGGCATCCTCAAGTCTCGGTCAGGCTGCCAGGAAGCGACCACCTCCCCGAGGCTCAGGTAGAGAACGGGCAGGGCGGCCCCTGACTACGATTTGTGTGTCGCTTCCAGAAGCTGGGCCTGGGCACTTCGCTCCCTGGACCGATGTCTGTCACCCGACCCCCATTCTCCAGGATAAAGCTGTGCCTCCAGAGAAAGGCCTCTTCTCCGCGGCAGACTGCCCGACCGCCGGCAGGCCCCAACACACCTGTGCCCTCCAGCGGCGGGACCCTGGGTCCTGGGCCCACACCAGCTCTCCCTGTCCTCCTGGCTAAGGCGCCCAGGCCCCCTCCCAGACATAGGCACAGCGACACAGCTCCTGCAGCCCTGCCATCACCTGAGCCCGTCCCTGGCCAGAACTCCTATCTGAGGCCCCCTCAGGAGCCAGCACACAGAGGACTCAGGGCACCCAGGTCACGGGGTCGGGCCACAGTGGCTTTTCCCTGAGGTAAAAACACAGGAGTGTGTTTTTGTTCCTGAGGGATCAGCCAAAGGCAGGACCCCCTTCTGTAGGGCAGGATGCCCTCAGCCACAGTTGCAGTCACTGAGCATTTCCGGGGTGACTGGGGGATCGCTTACCTGAGCAAATGGCACCGGTGGCCGCGTAAATGACCAGGCCCCAGCAGCCCATCTTCACACCGTCGTTGTAGGCCTGCCAGGAGGTTGAGTTGGAGAGAGCCTGTTGCAGAAAGGAGATGGTTTCAGGGGGCAGGGACCACGTGCCATGCCCTCCGGGCAAAGGTGGTTATTTTGCATCTCACCTGCAGGCAGGCTGTTTGTTTTAAAAGAGGAGGTAAAACGCTGCACTGGAAGGAAAATTAGCCACCATCCAGGTCAGCATCTGAAATGTTTATACCCCAGCCTCCCTCCACCCGGACCCGGCCTGAGCTGCCTGGCAGCTCCTCCCTGTGTCCTCTGAGAGCCCAGCAGCCACACGGCGTGGAAGGGGAGGCGTGAGCCAGGTGACACCACAGGGATAGAAGCAGTGCCCAGCTGAGCCCAGCCACGAGTAATAACAGACCGCGATTTAAGCCACTAAGTTTGGGGCAGTCTGGCACACGGCAGTAGAGAGCCGACGCTACAACTCAGTCCAGGCTCTGAAGTGCGCCCGCCCTGGAAGGCCCCGGCACTTGACTACTGACCGTGGGCCTGGGTGTGGCCGACCTGCCAGGCTCCCGTGATGACCCTGACCATGTAATGGGTGCACACAGGCCAGCTGCCTGCCGGGGGCCGCCCACCTGCGTCACATGGTGCTGGGGCTCCACGAGGTGGCCTGGGGAATGGCCTGGACGTCGAGCCGTGTCAGGCCTGTGGGCCGTCACCACTGCCCAGCCCCCACCCCCCCGGCCCCTCTCGTTCAGGCCTTGCGACCGGCCGTGAGCGCCACCCCTGCAGGTGCCACAAGTGGGGGCCCCGGCGCTCACCTTGGGGTCCCCTTCGAAGATGACCTGGCCCATGAAGTCGGTGTAGAAGACGGCCTCGGCAATGACGGAGAACCAGGTGAGCAGGTGGCAGACGCACAGCCGCATCAGCTCCCGGGGCATCTTCAGCATGGACAGCCACAGCAGCCGCACGGTGGTCTCGCTGTCACCCTCCTCGCTCTCCGTGTCCCCGCTGGAGTTGGTGGCCCCGCTCTGGTTGCGGTGCCGGGCGCGCTGCCGCTGCCGCACCTGCAGGTCGTACAGGTCGCTCATGCTGCGCGAGGGCTTGATCAGCACCACGGCGTTGGCGCGCCGGCAGCGGTAGCGGTGTGAGCCCACCTTGCCGTAGTAGGAGAAGGTGCTGGATGCCTGCCGGCGGAACACGTGCCGGCGCCGACGCAGGGCGCCGGGCGCCGCGGGGGGCCTGCCGTCCACCTGGGGGCAGCCGCTGGGGCCGGCTCTCGGCGGGGAGCCGCTGCCGTTGGGGACTTTGGCTTCGTTCAAGTGATTATCGAGCAGTGTGGTGTCCTCTTTGGCGGTCTCCCTGAGTAGTAAGGACAGGCTGGGCGGCGTGGCCTTGGCGAGGTCCTGGCTGGTGCTGCAGGGGGTGCTGGGGTGGGAGGCGTCGTGGAAGATGGAGGGCTCGATGTCGTGCAGGAACAGCAGCTCGGACTCCAGGCCCAGCGCGGCGTCCGGCACATGCAGCACCGAGTCGCTCTTGCTGCGTACCAGGTCCACGTCCAGGTAATCCAGGGCCAGCTCGTGCTCCGACTGCACCTCGTCGGGAAACAGGGTGCCGCCGGCCAGGGCGGCGGGGTGGGCGGCGGCCTCCACGCTGCGCTCCTGCTGGGGGCTGTACTGTTCCTCCTCGATGCTGAACAGGTGCAGGGTCACCGACACCGTGAACACGATGGCCGCGAAGAAGAAGAGCACCTGGTTCTGTGTCCGGAACCAGGCACCCAGGAAGGTCTGCGTCCAGTCCAGCCCCCCCAGCACGTAGCCGATGGCCCCACCGAGGCCTGCACGGGATGGAGGGGACAGAAACGGCCAGTGAGCGGCACCCGCGCCTCGACCCCAGAGGCAGACAGGCCGGGACAGGTCCTGGAAGGGCTTTCAGCCTCAACTGGGGGGCCAGCCCCGCAACCCACAGGCACATGAGTCAGGGCACTCGTGTCTGGGAGACGGAGAACGGTAGGAAAGGCCAAACGAGAAACACCAGCTGACCCTGGGTTTGGAATTCTGACCTAAGAGATTCCTGCTTCATAAGCAAGCTAAGGGCAGACAAGTGCCAGGCTGGGAAACAGGCAGCCCACGTGACCCCCCAGCACTAACCGCCATCCCCGAGGCTCAGGAAGTGGGCAGCACAGGGCCCTGGGCGAGGTCACCTGGCCAGCACGTCACCCTCCTCCCAGCTCAGTCACTTGGCCCCACTGGGCTGGGGTCCCTGCCCGACCTGGGCGTGCTGGCCCTGAGCGCGGCGTCCCCAGCCCTGCTGGTGAGGGCCAGGGAATGCGGGGCAGGACTCTCACCAGCAGAGAAGGCGTGGATGTTAAGGGCCATGTCCTGCTCCTCACTGTCCACGACGTCCAGCAGGTAGGCACGGATGGGCCCCTCAGTCGCGTCCGCGCTGAAATCCAGGACCACCACCCCCAGCACCGTGAGGACGATGCCAATGGGCTGCCGGTTGGGGACATCGCCCAGGGACAGACCTGATGGAGCACACAGGCAGTCAGACCTCAGCTCCCAAGTGCAGACGGCCACGCCCCCGCCAGAAAGGGGTGATGTCTGCTGGGGTGTTTCTTCCCCACTCACATTAGCTGTTCAGTGAACCTCCAAGAGCTTACTTGCCTTTATATTTTGTAACTAAAAGGAGGAAAGGGCCCTTCCCACACGACCTTCACCGGGAAGTCCGTGCTAGGAGCACTAATGAAGCATCAGCGAAAAAGCAGGCTGTGTGACACACTCGGCCACACAACACATATGGGCGCACACTGGGTGCGGGGCTCCAGTTAGCTCCCGGCCAGGTCCTTGCGAAGGAGTGTGTGCACCCACTCGGCCCACGGCCTGCAGGGATGTCTGTGGGTCGGTGTTCACTGAATGCCCAGGTGACACGACAGCGGCACCCTGGCCTTCTGATGGGGGGACATCAGGCTGGCAGGGGCCGCCCCACACGCGGGGCGGAGTTCAGGGAGGGGCATGGTGCCTGGGCAGTGCCTTCCTGCCCCTAGCACGTCCCCACGTGGGCCTCTCTGTTCTCACGCCCTGAGAAGCTGCAGGGCCCTCGCTACACCAGGAGGTTCTCTGGGGCTCTTCCTGAGCCCTCGGGCATCACTGTCTGCCACTGGAATGGATGCAGACTTGGGACAAGCTCACGTGTGTCAGAACACAGGCTCAGCCTCCTCTCAAGAGTCACTGCCAGAAAACAAGGTTTTGTTCTCAGCAGTTTTAATGGGTGCCCTCAGGGCAAAAATTATTTTCCCATAGTTGCTTTAATTAAACACAAAACAAAACAAAACAAAAAGAACCAACCGTGAGTACACGAAACAAAAAAACAAGTATCAAACTAGGTCTGGACATTTTCAATACCAAGTCTAAGGAGAGAGGAAAAAAAAGGAAAAGATAATTTCTGAAATAATGCTGGAAACAGGACGTGGTGTCAGATACGCATTAAAAACAAATGGGTCACAACAGGAAACGCTTCCCTGTGAACAGGTTCCTAGGGCTTTCCCACGTGGGGCCCGGCTCCAGCGCTGCCAAGTGTGCCCGCTGCCAGGCCACCGCCCGGGTGGCCGAGGGCTCGGCGTGGCGACCCGCTCCGGGACCGAGGGGGGCTGGGCTGGCCCGAGAGGCTCCTGTCCCACAGCCAGCCACTCTGAATTATTTAACACCAAACATATTTTATTGAGTGAAAGGCTATCCCCAGTCCGGACGCGGCCACACGTTGTAGGACGCGCAGCTTGGCACAGGAACACTCACCGATGGCAGAGCCGTTCAGGAAAAGTGCCACGCCCAAGAGCACGCCCACGCAGAGGACGAGGATGAAAGGCCGCCGGCGGCCCCAGCTCAGGGTGCAGCGGTCGCTCGCGGAGCCGATGAGGGGCGTGAAGATGAGGCCGAGGATAGGGCTCAGGAACCAGGTGAGGCTGTAGTACTGCTCGGGAAGGCCTGCAACAGACACGCGGACGTCAGACATGCGGGACGCAGAGCCAAGGCCGGCTGCTGCCATGTGCTCCAGAGGCAGGAGGCCAGGTGCCGCTTAGAGGCTCCTCGGGGTAGGCGTTCCCACCTGCGAGGCAGGGAGATGTGAAATCAACCAAAGCCCTTGTGTCCATTTTACAGGTGGGGGATCAGGCTCGGAGAGGTTAGGGAATCGGCCCTGGGCCACACAGTGGGGAAACTGGGACTTAAACCCAGGGCTGCCCGATTCTACAGTTTACTCACCACCAACCCCCACGCTGGTGTCCTATCGCCAACCCAAAGCCCGTAACCGAGGGCCACAGACACGGGTCTCACACATTGGCCTGAAGGAACAGGCCTCACACAACAGTGCGGCTGACTCGCACACACGCTGGGCACAGAAGAGCACACAGCGTGGTTCCGTTTCCAAGACGTGCAAAGCGGCAACAGGGGTCTCTGCTGGCAGAAGCCAGGGGCCTTCGGGCTGCCAGGCTGTTCTCAACCCGGGTGGGGGTCGCTGGAGACTTCGATCCTGAACCTCTGCGTGTTCTACTTCAGTGAAAAGTTGACTTAAAAAATAAAAGGTGCTTTGGCATGCCAGCCGTGCACTTGGCTGACATTTTATACCCAAAGGCACTGAGAAATGGAATATTATTGTGCTGAGCGACTAAGAAAAATAAACTCATGTCGGAGGAGGAAGTCAGTTCAGAGGAGGGAAGCACCTCTTCGAGGCACTGCTAACGTGCCCCCGAGAACGTCTGTGCGTTGGGCCCAGAATGCGGGGTTCCAGTGGCCTCCGCACCATGGCACAGAGTTTTAGGAGGGGGTCTGCTCGCGTTTCAAGCCAGCAGAGTGGACGGCTGGCGCTGCAGGAAACCACAAGCCTGCTGAGCATCTGTGACGAGCTATGGTTTCGCCAGCAGCCAGGCTTCCCGCCTTCTCTCATCGGCGAGGCAGAGGGGACAGCGGGGGCTGCACTGCCCCACCAACACGACACGCTGCCAAGCACCGCGTTCTCAGAAACGCCTCCCTCACAGAACGAGTTAGTGTGTGCGGCGCAGTTGGCATTTCAGAAGGGATGGAAAGCATTCTTACCCCCAGTATGTAATACGTGGATGCTTACCTTTGCTGGGCTTTTTAAACATGCCACAACTTGACTAACAAACAGCCACCAGCCTGGTGACGATGGCTCCGGCAGACTTGCGATGTGTGCACGCACAGAGGCGCACGCACGGTGGCTCCCTGCCACGCCTGGCTTCTCTCTCAGGGTCCTGGCCTTCCCGCTTCAGGAACACAGACATACTCTGCATTTCCCGCACACCCCCCGACGCCTCTCCAAGGGGCTCACCCACCCAGCCCAGGCGCACCCTGGCTGCTGCATTTCTGCACCTTCTGAACCACCTGTGCACCTTCCCAGGAGACCATGCATCCCTGAGGGCGGCACTGTTTTATTCGTCATAAATAAACGGGACCCACTGAGGCGCTCATGTTTGTTGAACTGAGCCAAACCCTGAGACGCACCTGCGGGGCCAGCCGGGAGACCCCTATCGCCAACCCTCGGTTATGCCGTCCCGGCTGGAGAGGCCAAGGCTTGACCTCTGACCCCTGCTGCCAGCCGGGCCCAGCTAACGGGCCTCAGTCCAGTCCTTGGCTGTGACTGACCACCCCATCCCAGGAGCGCCCTCGTCCCCCAGGCCTACAGTCTGTCTCATGTTACCAAACCTTCCAAGACACAGGTCCCTAACAAACCTACCCTCTCCAGCAGATGAAAAGTCCCCATGGAATCGGGCGAGCAGCCCCTGCCCTCCTCTGCCACCTGCCACATGCACACACCTCCTGGCAGCACGTCATCTTGGCTCCTGGTTACAGCAACGCTCTTACCACGTGTCCAAGTGCCGGGGGATTATACACACACACACACACCTTTGACCTGTGGCATTTTCCCTGGGGCTGTGGCAGCCCCTGGTCCCTGGCTTCCAGTCCTGAGGATGAATGGGCATTAGCAAGCCCACTTGGGTGACAAGCGTCACCGGGATAACTATGCAGGAAGGCACAGGGATCCACATTAGGTGGTAAGTGATGGGGGGCGGGTGAAATGCTGTCTCCAGCACAGTCCGGGTGAGGAGGTTGGTGGACGGACGTCTCCCAATGTCCTGAGCTCACCAGGCCCCCCCATTCTCCAGCTTCTTGATGTCCCACTGCCAGTGACAATCCTGCAATAGCACTGCATTGACCCTCATCGGCACCCACCACAGTTCACTTCACTGTGCCTCTGTTTACTGAGGAAATGGAGGCTGAGACAGGAGACCTGGTTATTCAGATGGTGAATGACATTCAGATGGTGAGTGACACCCACCGACTCGAGCCTGGCACCTGCTCCCGGAGCCCACCCTCCAGCCGCTGTGCCACATGCTGACCCTGCGGCACATCCAGCCTCCGGTTCGGAATTGTCTCTGCTCCTGGGTCCATGGCCAGCAGCCATCCCAAGGCTTGGGGGGCTGAAGACGGGTGCTGTCACCTGCTCCCCAAGGCCTCAGTGACCAGCTGCCCCCTGTGGGGCAGGAGGCACTCAGATGAAGAAGGCAGAGTGGTGGGGCAGACGGAGGGCCGGCCGCAGTCAGGACGGGTGCAGAGCTCTGGGACACATGGGCCGTGACAGGCAGAGCCGACACTGCCCACTGAAGGCTTGTTACGGACAGATTTACGGCACTTGCTGGCGTCAGCTCCAGCCCCCACATCCGCCTCGCTAATAGGCAGAGAGGAAACTGCATGGCCAAAATTGTTCCTTGAAGATTTGGCCTCACCAGGAAAGGCATCAATGGTGGCCACGATCAATCATTACTGCAGTGTGACCAAGAGTTGAGAGGCTACGGGGCCTGATCACAAGGGACTGTTTGTCCACAACTGCTGTCTAGCTCACCCGAACATCCCATTCGCATCGATGAGGCACGAGGTTCTGCGTCAGAGGGAATAACTGAAGGCTGACCACAGTGCAAAGCACACCCCGCGGTCCCGGCTGCCTGAGGTGACAGGCCCTGGCCGCCCGCTCTCTGTCAGCTAACCAAACACGGGACACACCAGGGTCTGGCCAACGCCAAGCCCGCGCTCTTCCCCAGGACATGCTACAACATGGGACGCACATGGCCCAGCTGGCTGTGCAAGGTGATGAGAAGAGAGCCATCTCCACTGAAGGCACCCCTGGAAAACATGGCTTCCCGCCCCCACATGCAGGGACCACAGTAGGAGACGCCTGGCACTGCCCTGGGACAGCTCCCTGTGCAACACGGGGCAGCGACTGGACCCAAAGGGGCTTTCCCATCGCAGCCCACATTTCAGCCAGCGTGGCCACACAGCAGCCGACAGGCTGATGTGACAATTCTTCTCCGGGAAGTGGGTTTACATTCTTGGGATCCTACACTTCACCCAAGGAGCTGTTGCTCTTCTTACAAGGTTGTCACACAGGGAAGCAGGAGACGGAGCGTGCAGGCAAGAGCTCGGCTCCGCACGTGACCCCGGAAGCCAGGCTTCTCAAGTTCAAGGGCGGCGCGCTCAAAGCCAACGGTACTGGTTTAAATCCATCCGTGCACCTCTGCACAGACTGGAAACGCCTGCCCACCCAAGGCTTCTTTTCAGCGAGCTGCTCCCTGTGCTAAGTCGGCTACAGGCGGCCTCTCTGAGCAGGAGTGTGGGGGACACGCGTGGGGGCCACAGGGGAGCCTGTGCTCTGTGGGCGTGTCCCCTTAGACGCAGAGAAGACATCTCGCCTGCACTGACAGTGCGAGGGTGTGGCTTCCAGGTACAGGGTTCACAGACCTGAACTGCGAAGTTGTCATTTCTTTCTGAACACCAGTATGGAACTGAATAAAAATGGTCACAGTATTTAAACCCAAGTCTTAGAAACTCATTAGGAAGTTTGTCAAGCTGGGTGCTGGTCAGCAATCCACCCCAAACCTGTGTCCTGCTCGCCACCGTCAGCAGACCGGCTTCAGGAGGAAGGGGAGAGGCTGCGGGGCCCCGGGCTGCCTGCTTTGGAGGTTCCCCAGGAACCTGGGCAGCCATCACCAGCTCAGTGAAGCTCCAACCCCGAGGGACAGAGGGAGATGGCGTTGGGGCGTGGGCCACCTGGCCCGGGCGTCAGTATCCTCAGCCCACCTGCCTCTCCTTTGTCCGAGGGCCCTTAGCGCCCTCGGGGACCCGGAACGCTGCCGCGGCCTCTCACTCCAGCCCGTATTCACTAACGGCAGCCACGGCTGGCAGGGGTGCCTCTCCTCCGGTTACGATGCCCCCTCCGCTCCCCATCCAAGCCTCTCCTGGTCCTCACCTGCCGTTTCCTCCTCCACCTGCTCCAGCCTGGTTCCCCTCAGCTCTCCCAACACTGCCCTCTTGGACCAAGGTCACCAGTGCTGCCTACCTGCCAATCTGGCCGTCCTCATCTGTGAGACTTGGCCGAAAGCCCCAAGAGGGCAGAGCATGTGGCACAAGCACAGCTCATCTGGCATAGTGCCCGGCCTGCAGTGAGCTCCAAACATGCTGGGGGAAGACACTGGGGGGCAGTGGTGCCCAAGCCCCTAGTACCCCCCACACCCCTAGTACCACCCAACCTGGCCCTCCTCCCAGTGGATGGCTCTCCCTCCCGCTCGGCATGCGCTGTTACCCCCCAGATGCAGGGAAGGCCTCCTGCAGAGGGGGCCACGGCGCAGAGGCCGCAGAGACCAGAGCAGGTCAGGCCGAGGACGGAGGGAGAGCCAGGAGGAGCCAGCAGGACCCACGGTAGGTAGCTTCTGGGTCACTTTTTTTCTCCCCAGTTCTTCTGAAAGCAAATTCTAGAAGCAGAGAAACTGCAAACCCCCCAGGAAATTGTCTGCACTTGAGCTCCGTGGTCACAGCTATGGGACCAGTTGGGGGCAACAGCCCCGGCCCCACAAGGGCACCCAGAGCTGGGAACACAGGGACACTGGGTGACGGCTTCCTTTGTTTAAGCATGTTGG